TTGAAATTTGTAGCAATTTACAAGTTGGAGTTAAGTTGATTCCTTATCTTCACTTGTTGAAATTTGTAGCAATTTACAAGTTGGAGTTAAGCTGATTCCTTATCTTCACTTGTTGAAATTTGTAGCAATTTACAAGTTGAAATTAAGCCGAGATTACTGTTTCTCTTCACTTGTTGAAATTTGTAGCAATTTACAAGTCGAAGTGAAGCCGAGGTTATAGTTTGCACACTTGTAGCAATCTACAGGTTGGTCCAACCAAAGAAGATGCTTAACATTTGTTGAAATTTGTAGCAATTTACAAGATAATGTTAAGCCGACATATGATCATCTGTTGAAATTTGCAGCAATTTGCAGGTTGAGGTAAAAGAAAAGTATATTGTTTAAACACTTGTTGAAATTTGTAGCAATTTACAAGTAGATCATTGCTTAAACACTTGTTATAACTTGAGAAAAATTTACAGTATATGTTAACACTTGTTGAAATTTGTAGCAATTTACAAGTAGATTAGACTGAGATCACTGTTTAAATACTTGTTAAAACTTGAGAAAAAGTTTGCAAAAGTTAAACATCGAGTAGTATATGTTTCATACTGGTTAAAAATTATGAAAAGTTTGCAGGTCAGTATCTTGCCGAAGTAAAAGTTTTGTAGTTATTATACCCGAGGTATGTAACCCCGAGAAGATTGCACAAGGAAGGAAGAAGTATGTAAAGCATGCAAAATATTCTAAGTATAGAAACCATGCAGAAGCAATCAAGAGAAATTGAAGATTAAAGGATTCAACAAAAACAGGAGGAACATCGGCCATGTGAAGAAGCTTATATTGTCCAGGAAACAAAAAAAGTACAAAAGACAAAAAAAGAGAGACATCAAAGTTGTGGTTCCTCAGCCTCAGGAGCAACTTTGGTTTGGACCTCTGCAGATTCTTGAAGAGCTACTTCGGCCGCCTTCTCCATTGCAAGTTCTGCATCGATCTCGGCAAGAGTTTCATCAATATTCTTGTCAAGTTGAGGAACGTCGGACGAAGCGTGCTCTAGAGTGGTTTCCTTGGCAACCCCTTCACCTACATCATCTTGAGTTAAGTCCATGAATTGCGAACTTGAAGGAAGGGATTTGGTCCCAGCAGCATCTTTAGGTTTCCTTACCAAAATTTCAGCCTCATCCTCGTCCTCACCTCCATCTTCATCCTCAGATTCAGAAGCATCCTCAGGTTGACTTGGAGGTGGAGGTGGTGGGAAGGGAAGAGGGATAGCATCGGCGTTGTGGAAGGGTCTTTATCAGGGACATCCACCCAAGGGAGAAGCCCCCGTTGCATGCCTGCCTGACCTAAAGTTTGTATTCTTCAGTAACGTCAGCCATACCCTGGGCGTATGCCTTTTCATCAGCCTCCTTAATTTCGACATCCTTGGTGGCCAGGGCCTCCTGCAGTTCCTTTTCGGCTTGGGCCTTTCTGTCCTCGGCCTCTATCTTCTCGGCTTCAGCAACCTTCCTTATGGCCTTGGCTGATTCAGCTTTTTCCTCGGCTATCTGTTGGGCCTTAGTCGCAGCCTCGGCCTGTTCTTCCAGCTTCTTCATTTTTAGTTGAAGACCTTTGTTGGTCTTCTGCAGGGCAGAAAACTCCTTCTTCATCTCGGTCATTCTTTCCCGATTCTTAAAAGATTGCATTGAAAACGAATGGGCATGCTGGATGCCCTGAAAGAAAATAGAAGCGTTAGAAAATATTTTAAGTATGAAACAGAAAGAAAGTAGAAAGTTCAAAGCAGGAGCACTTACTTGAACGGAGTGCTGGAGCATTAAAGCGTAGTTCTCATACTCACTATACTCAGCATTTCGCTCCAGGTCCCCTGGAAGGAGAAAAGCGGTACTAAGGGCGACGCCGACATTAATGTCATTGGCGCTTTCACTAGACATGATTGGCCTGTCCTCCAAATTAATCTTTGGGGCCCAGGGGACATCTGGTTTTTTGGACCCCGAAGCCGTTGTAGAGGACGACCTCACTTTCTTTGACTTTGAAGATTTTGCTGGCTGTGTTTCAGCCGACCTTTTTGCAGAAACAGTCTTCTCACTCCCGGCCAATTGTGAAATTGGCAGAGCATCTTCATTCTCAACTGCAGTGGCTTTGGCCTTTGGCTGAGCCTTTTTGGTTCTTTTTGGCTTTGGTGGGGGCATGGATTGGGTTGGTTTAGCATCAGCATCAACTGGGAGGTCGGTTAGGAGATCTTGGGCAACAGGCTTCGGGCGACCCATCTCAGCAGTCTTGACAAGTCGACGCCGACGTCTTCTTTCTGGTATTGGGATTAAGTATGGGGCTGAAGTAGATGGCAGATCTGCTGGGCCAGAAGTGGATCCTTGGTCTGCTCGTGATGTGGAAGCAGTGGGAAGAGTTGTGGCAGAATGTGGAGAAAGACTCTTCTTCTTCTTCTTCAGGACGTCGGGCAGAGTGGATTTGTACGTAGGAATAAAGTTCAGAAGAAGAGGTGCTTTCCTTTTGTGGACAGGCAAGTCCAGGAGCTTTTTCAGGTCCTTGCTAGGAACGTAAGATTGGCGAAAGTCTTTCGCTAGCTTGCGAACGTCTGCAAGAAGAAACAGACATTAGAAACAGATAAAATATTGAAGACTTGAAAAGAAACAACTAAGTAAATAACACTGGGCTCTTACCCTTGCCCTCTTTAACCGTTCGAGGAAGAGGGTATAGGTGGACATCTTCGTCTGGGGCAAATTCCCAATTTCCAGAGACAATAAAGTAGTCATCTCCAGCCCCCTTGTTGGAGTTTGGGAGGTCGGCTACGATTTTGAATTCAGTGGACCTCGGCTTGAGGTAGTAGACGTAACCTTTTTCCTTCAGGCTAAGGGGGCACATGGTGTAACAATACTGTATGTCGACTAGGGTGATTCTAACATTTTCTTGTCTGGCTAAGGCGATGATACCAAAAATCACTCGATAAGAGTTTATGGCAAGTTGCATAGGGTTCAACTTATAATAATGCAGAATCTCGCGAAAAAGAATGTTAAGTGGAAGCCGAAGTCCTCACTCAGTAAAGGCTACAATAGGGAGAGGCATGGTGTTTTCGGTAGGCATGATGGAGTCATCATCCCCAGCCAGTCTCAGGTGGACATCGGCAGGAATAGAGACCTCCTGCCTAAAGTACTCAAGTTTGGTCGGGGTATTAACCCTATGTCTCCACATACCCATAACGTCGGCCTAAAGACAAAAGGCTAGGTTTCAGAAAGAAGGTGCTCTTAAGGGGTTATCGGGACCTCGGCGAAACCCTAGGTATATACTGGTAAGGATTGTTTCAGTTTTCCCTAAAAATTGAAGGTTCTATAGACAAAACCCAAACCTAAATCTATGAAGGCAAAGATTGAAAGCAAAATTTAGAGGCAGAAATCTGGAAAACAAGAAACAAAGAACGACGTTTCAGAATCAAAGAACAGAGGTATGGTTCTCAGAAGCGAAAGAAATACAGAAGTAAAAGGTCAAGAACAGTGGCAAGAAAAGTGTTGAAATAGTGCAAATGTTCAAAATATGAGTGAAATCATGGAATAGACGCATCAAGATGAATAGTTCAGCAAATCAAAGGTTTGAACAGAGCAATAATGGCAATAAGTAAACAAAAACACATAGAAGAAATTGGGAATGAGAGGACACATAGAAGAAATTGGGAATGAGAGGAACAGAGGCTTACCAGAACAAATGAAGCCGGAATGAAAGTCGCCGAGGTAAGGCAACGGTTATAGACACGACGGAACGGCGAAAGCTTCGCTGAAATGGAAGAATGAAGACGGTTGCAGAGCTTGAAGCTAAAGTAATGGCGGATTTAGGGAAAGTTTAAGAGAGAGAGAAAACCAGAAAATCAAGCGCCAAAGCAAAGAAACGAAGAAAGAGAGTAAAGTTTTATCAAAAACTTGAAACGGCGGCAAAACACGGCATTTATTGCGCCTGGAGGAACGCGTGCGTCAGACGGCGCAGACGGATGAAAGACGACTTACAAGTGCGTCACAGACACGGGTAAATAAAGATAGAACACGTAAGGGGAACGGTTGAGAAGAGATGCATGACAGCTCATGCGCGTGGGGGAATTTGTTTGAGTTCTTGTTCTCCGAAGAGAACACGTCGGCCTGAGATGAATGATCTCGGCTAAACAGTTTTTGAGCCAAATATGCAGAAAGAAATATCAATATAGGTTCCATCACCTCAGGATACCGAGGTAATAGAACCTAGGGGGCAGTTGTGGGGATATATTTTCTGAGTACCAACACGTGGCATGGTGACGCCGACGTGTCAGCCGAGGTGCCACGTGTCGTGGTAGTTATGCCGAGGTTATCTTGGCGAGGCTGAGGTTATCTCCGAAGATATCGGAATCCGAGATAAGCAGATAAGGGACAAGAGTCCTAGAGTAAAGAGAAGACTTTGCTGGGATAAGGATAAAGCTCTTGGGGAGTTTATCTTTATCTCTTGAGGAATCCAAAGTAAGCACTGAATTGGAGTCCATAGAAGTTAGGCTTCTAGTGGGATTTGGATTGAGTAAACTATAAAAGAGAGGCACCCCCGTGGGTCTAAGGTACGCAGTTTTATACTCAAGCTTGTGAGTTTAGCACTTGATTATCTTTGAGAGATATACTGACTTGATTGTTGGAGTGCCCTCGGGTGGAAGAGCCACCGCCGGAGCCTTTTCTTTCTGTTACAGGTTTGCTGAAGCCATCTATTCTGCCGGTGCTCTCCAGTTGATTACTAGGCGGGCAGTGTGGTCAAAAAATTACCCCCCACACACACACATATATATATAGGGTTTTCCATTTACTTTAATGATTTTGCTCACAAAAATCTCAAAATATTCTCATAGTTCATAAATTGAAACATTTGGAAAAAATTTGAGAAAAACCCCTCTTTAAATCACATAGGAATCTCATAAATCAAACCCCAACTCAAAATTCAAGAAATCAACATCGCAACTACTTTAGACTTGTAAAAATATATATATAACTTTAAGAAATCTCTACCTCAAGTCCTAGAAGGGAAAAAGAAGAAAAGCCCCAAATTTCCACATCAACGAAATCCGATCTCCACTACAAAACGAAACCCTTGATGTGCTTTCCAATTTGACCTCAATAACGAAGGTTAAAAAATCTATGGATTTTGCTAGATCAAAGAAAAAACGAGGGTTGGTGGAGTTGGGTAGAGAGGAGAAGAAAAGAGAAGAGAGTAATGTTTAGAGAGAGATATGTTGTAATGAAGAAAAAAGTGGGAAAAACCCAATAACAAAGTTGAAAAGGTTAAAATATATATATATATATATATATTTGCGACACATCTTCCCGCACATGCGGGCCCTTGACTACACGTGCAGACCCCTTTCCCAATTAACAAAAAAGTTGTGAATAATTAATTAAACAAATATTGTCTTCCACTAATCATGTCATATACCCCGTTTAGTAGAGTTGTGGAAAAGTGATTATACATTATAACTTAACAGATTATGACTTATAGCTGTGAACATAAGTTGTTAATCTGTTTGGTGCAGCTATGGGATTATGGATTTAAGCAGCAGAGTAGTGTTTGGTTAATAAGCTGTAAAATAGTTTTTTACTGTATAATTGTCATTTCTGCCATTATATGATATAAAAAATGATTATTTTGTCATTTTTTTCAATTTTAATATAAAAAAAAAATATTTCATTAATAAAAGTTAATATAATTAGTATTAATTAGTATCAATTAATATAAAAATTGAAACATTTGATAAAAATGTAATGGAAGTATTATTGTTACAATTTTTTTCCATTATAAATTAATTAGTATAAATTAATTGCTTAATTAGTATCAATTAATGGCTTAATTAGTCTCAATTAATATTAATAATTAATTTTTATTAGTATCAATTAATATTAATAATCAACAATTGTTATTAATTAGTATCAATTAATAATTAATTCATTACAAAAGTATACAATATTAATTTATTAATAATTAATACCAATTAATATTGATTTTTTTAATTAATATTGATTTTTTCTTTTTCTTCAAAAATATACAATTTTTTATTTTTTAATTAATATAAAAATATACAATATGAATTTATTAATAATTAATACCAATTAATATTGATTTTTTAATTAATATTGATTTTTTCTTTTTTAATTAATATTAATATTTGGGTATTGACGAGGGCATTTAAGTAATTTTAGCCTCCACACCAGCTGTGCGCTTAAGTAAAAAATTTAAGCACTCTCTGACCAGCTTTTGAGATAAGTTAAGAAATAACTTGATTTAAGCTATAAGCTGGTTAACTTAAGCTGCATCAAACACAATATTTTAGCTTAAATTAAGCTAAAAGTTGAAATAAGCAGCTTATAAG